TGGTCACTAAATATTGAAAATAACAAATGAACAATATTCATCTTTTTAGGTACCTTTGATCTTACGTGTGGTGAAGCAGCTTCTCCAGCACAGGCCAAAACGCCTCCTAAAGATAACTATACTTCAATTCTCGACGGTATATATAATCTATAATCTCATTTGCTGGATCAATCCTCGATGTCTATATATTTATGACTTTGGTGTTTTATATAGTTTGTAATTGGGTGGATTGTGGAGGAGGGGTTTGCAACAAGACAACAACGTTTTCATACACATGTGATTGTCGTGAAGGTTACAACAATCTCATGAACATTACTACATTTCCTTGCCTTAAGCAATGTAAGAAGAAGAACAAAATATAGTATTCTTATTTGATTGTCGATTGAAGAACAAACAAGACTTAGTGTTTGGTGTTTTGTTGTTTTGGAAGGTGCACTTGGAATGGACTGCTTGAATCTTGGGATTCCTTTGTCGAACGCATCATCGTCTTCTCCACCTGCTCTACCTGACAGTAGCAAGAATCAAGGTTTGATGACTCTTTAAAATGTTTGCCTTAATCAAGATAACATCTTTTTTTTATTAAGATTTTAGTTGTTGAAGAAGTTGAAATTTTGTTTAATTGTAGCAACAGGATTGAAGAATCTGGGAGGATCATCGGTGTGGTTGATGACATTTATGTTATGTATCTCTCTAGCACCATGGAGGTTGCTCTAGATTTGTTCTCTTTTGGTTTCAAATTTTGTGTACAAATCCATTTCGTTAGATGTTTTTTTTGTTGGGTATTGTACTATTTTATATATCCTTCTTCTCTGTTTTACTCTTTAGTTCATCCTTTTTCTTTAAGACAATTACCATATCTCCAACTAAATTTTAGGTATGTTAAGTTATTCAATCATATAATAGAATATAAATCCATTCATTATTATAGTTATTAAAGATTTGATTTTGATCATACATTTCTTTTTGGTTACTAGATTTGATACTTGTATATCATAGTTGAAAGATTATAAAAGCTAATGTTTGTGACAAAAAATATATATATAATAGTATAATGTCATTG